TTTTTGTTAACCTTGTGTACGGGAAACCTACTTAACGAGGTGATAAGAGCATCCCTGGTAAGTAGGTCCCGGTGTCGAAGGCTCCATCTATTGGTGGGGAGCTGCACCTGCTGGAAATCGGGTCCAGCGTCCTGGTACAATGATGTGAATGTATCGGCTGGAAATCGGGTCCAGCGTCCCTATGCAGAGATGTGATGATGTGTTGACGACTCCACCTTCCTATGTATGCACGTTTAAACAATATATGTCAGATGATGGGAGAACCCTATCCATCTGATCAACAGTATCTCCAAAACAAACTAGGGCATCGATACCAATCTAATCAATCAGACGATACCCTAACCTTGATGTGATGTGTATGACGTATTACCTATGTATGCACATTTAAACAATATACGTCAGATGATGGGATAACCCATACGATCTGATCAATGGTATCTCCAAAACAGACTGGGGCATCGAGACCAATCTAGTCAATCAGGCGAAACCCTAACCTTGATATGGTGTGTATGGCATGTTGAGCTGGAAATGAAAACCAGCTTCCCTATACGATGATGAGTTGAGAAGTCAAAGAAAACCTATCTATCAGACGAGGGGGCAAATCCCACAGGTTAATATGATGTGTGTAAGCTTGGAATCATAACCAGCTTCGTTATGCAATGAACATAGGCATTGATTACTCCCCTATAGAAGGGAAGGATTGACCTCCTTTTTTTTTTTTTTTTTTTTTTTTTGACCTCCTGTTCATGAAAAATGAGAAATGTTCATTTCTGACTTTCTGCATGCCAGCCAAATTATCATCATCGACACCCAGCAAGCAATCTTCAACTCCACCAACAGCAGCTCGGGGTGGCGAAGCCCTGACCTATCTCCCCCTCTGATTGAAGTTGCAGAGAGCAACTCCAATCAGCAATCCATCCGAACTCAACAGGGTGAAGAGCATCTAACCAACTCCCACCCTGTGCCACCCAAGGAAAGACAGATGAACATAAAAGTACATCGCGTCAGGAGGGGGGGGGGGGAGGAGAAACACACTCTCACCCCCAAATCCCACGACGGCCATTCTCAGGCCAGTAGTTCCCCACCACCGCTCTGTTACCTACCACCATGGCAGCCCTTATTATTGCCCACGTTGTTGTTAATGGCTTAATTGCCGCTGTTATTGTTATTGTTGTTGTTGTTGTTGTTGGAGTTGTTGTTGTTGCTGTTGCTGTTGCTGTTGCTGTTGCTGTTGCAAATGTTGTTCATGTCGTCGCCATAGTTGCCTTTGTTTGTACAGTGATCGTCGCCCCTACTGCAGCCGCAGCTGTCATCTGCCCACTCGCCCACCTCCACAAGGGCATACTCCCTCTCATCAGTACCATGCTAAGGGTGAGGCTCCCCCACCCACTCGCCCACCTCCGCAAGGGCATACTCCCTCTCCTCAGTACCATGCTGAGGGTGAGGGTCGACCTCAGCACCGGGAGTTATTGTCTTTGTTGTTGCTGATGTTGTTGTTGTAGTTGTTGTTGTTGTTGTTGTCGGTGTCGTTACTGCAATCGCTTCGCCGCCGTTACTGTTGTCATTGTCATTGTTATTGTCACCCATCCCACCCTTCTTGTCAATCCCACCCATTCCTTGCCTGTCGTCATCACCCATCCCACCCTTCTCGTCAATCCCACCCCTTCCTTGCCTGTCATCTTCCACAGCCACCACCTCTGCCCTACAACCCTGTTCCACCTCCAGTATTGTTGATGTTGATATTGTTGTTGTTACTATTGCTGTATAATCCCTGTATTCACTCTTGCTTTTGTCGTTGCCGCCGCCGCTGCTGTTGCCGCCGTTTCCCCCGATGCCAATAACCCCCACTCCCCTTCCCACTCACCTGTGTTACCATCGCCAACTTCCCTCTCATCATCAACCTCCCACTCGCCTGCGTCATCAGTCACTGTGGCGTAATCCCTCTCTCCATCACCTGCGGCACCCTCATCCTCTACCGGATAGGAGAGTGCCCCTTTTTTTTTTTTTTTTTTTTTTTTTTTTTTTTTTTGTGTGTGTGTGTGTGTGTGTGTGTGTGTGTGTGTGTTCTGGTGGAGGGGTTCCTTGCTGTGGAATGAATTTGAATTTTTAAATTTCGAATTAAAAAATTGAAAGTTTCTAAAACAACCAGATCATGATGTTTCTGCCTATGTGAACCTACTTTTTTTTTTTTTTTTTTTTTCCCCTCGAGGGCAGCATTTTTTTGTCGCACGTCTAGATATGGCTGTCGACAGCAAACCTGGAGAAGGCCATAATCAGGTGGTTGAAGTGAATGTACGGAGCGATGAACCTGGTCCAGCCAATCCCCATGGTAAGTCCAGCAGCCAAGCTGTATAATTGTGAATTCTTTTGCTGTTTTTTTTCTTTTTCATTACAAATCCTCATGATGGATATATAAATGGGTTGCATCAAGTTCGGTGATTGACTTACTGGCAATTAAGATACCATATCTTAAAAAAAAAAAAAAGGTTAAAAAATTAAGACATAGTATGGTAACCCCTGGGGCGAGGTCCCATTAGCAGTCGAATAGGAGTGTGGCCGATC